AGCAACGGCGTTCGCGTCTTCGTCTCGCCCTTCAAGATGGTCAAGGCCTAAGCGCTGGCCCAGCTATCCTCTTCTCCTTAATCGCTTGTCGGCAGAGGAACGCCTATCAACACACGAGGTGGTGTATGGCCCTGATCGGCAAGGATCTTTCTTTGTATACAATTTTGAGACCAGCACAAACATTTCCACGATTACCGTCCCAAAGCGTTTCATTTCCGTTTCTCTCGATCACGGACGTGATGTGCCGATTGCGCGTAGGAGGTGCCGTGCAGATAGTCAAGGATGTTGAGGGTGCCAAAGTTGACATTGAAGTGTTTGTGGTGGAGATCGTGCTCCTCGCTTGTGATCAACGCGTAGCGTCCATACCTTTTACGAAAGAAGCACGTTGGTAAATGATTTCGTGCAAATTTAAGGAAAGGCGACGCACCCGCTGTGTGAAGCGACGACAGTGCAAGTGGCGAGGAAGATCCAGAAGTTGTAGGTCAATGGATGGGCGCCCACGATAATCGCTGGCAAGATTGCTAGACGGAAAGTTCAGATTCGGCCGAAGATTAACATCATCGATGTTCAATCATGAGCAGGAAATGGTCTGCGTACGCGCAAGATTGTTCGCCACCACGTGCTCGATCCAATGCACATACTGGGCAGCTGGCCCAACCGGTGCTGCGACAATCAGGGTTGGCGATCGGCTGCTGAAGCGATATGGATCGGATATCAGTGCGTACCGGTGTAGTAGTGATGCATCTTGTGGACACGCTTGTAGAAGAGGGGTTGATGCAGGGTGCGATGCGAGTAGTAGAAGAAGATCTCAAACAAAATTAAGATGGTGATAAATTCGAATGTAAATCGGGTGAGCGTGAGTGGCGCTAGAGTGTTCGTTGTCGATGCTAACGCCGTGGGCGCAATCAGCTGTAGCCACGCGAGAAGGAACGGAGGAGGGCAGAAGCCATAGGTGTAGTTGGGCCAGAGAGGGCTCAAGGCGAGGCCGATTGGAATGGAGATGAATAAGTGCAAGCCGAGCACATGGAACAGATGCGCCCAGCCAAATCGCAACCGCTCCTCGTCGAGGCCCTTCTGAATCTTGAATCGATCCAGCCATGGCTTCTTCTCTGGGCGGGTGGAAAGATGAAGCAGGAGGCGATCGCATATGGTGAAGAAGGCCGAGAGTGACCAGTAGGACACGAAGAACACCACAAAGGGTATGACCGTGTAAGCCAGGAGCTTGTCCACCACTACACACTCGCCCTCATCTTCCATCATCCAGTACACAAAAGAACGAAAACGAAAATGAAAACGAACGTTTTTCCCAAGAGGCACAAGTTCCTTAGAAGGGCTTGGACGCCCACACCTTGACGTAATCCACCTGCATCGGCCCCAGCGTGGCGCCGCTCGGAATTGGGCCTGACCAGTCTCCTCCCTGCTGTGACGACAGGATGGGGAACATGGGCGCGGTGTAGCCCGTCGGCGTGGGGAAACTGCACCGCGCGATGCGGTCGATGTAGAAGGTGACCGTCGCCGACGTCCAATCCACGCCGTAGGTATGGAACTGCGTGGCGTTGTAGTTGGGGAACGTCTCATACGAATAGCACTGACCCGCGATGCTGCTCGTCGTCACGTCCCACACCGTCTGCGCCGCGATGGCCGGGCTGCTGGTGCTGGTGGTCACGATCTCGACGATGTCGATCTCGGGCGGCCACGTCGACGCCGACATCAGCCAGAAGGCGAAGCCCGTCCCCGCCACCTGCGGCGTGGCGATGCGCGCTTCGAAGTAGCCATAGAGCTGGGCGAAGCTCTGGGTGAGGAGCTGCGAGCCGAGATAGGGCTGGTTCTCGCAGGCCGACCCGCAGTCGACGTTGTTCTGGATGCCCAGCCTGGCCACGCCGTTGGCCGCGGTGTAGAGGGACGTATAGGGCGTGGCCGGGTTGAAGGGGTTCACCATCCACCCCTGGTTCACCGCGTAGCCGTCGTCGTTGGGCGAGTACCAGCTGGCCGGCCGCCACGTCCCACCCGCCGACGGGTTCCTCCAGTTGTACAGGGAGAGGCTGTTGAAGTCATCAGCAAAGGTCGTCGCTTGAACAGGGCTAGGACTGCGCGTTGGGCTGGGCGTCCTGCTCCGAGTGGGGCTGGGAGTCGGGCTCCGGCTGGGGCTCCGCGTCGGGCTGCGGGTCGGGCTGGGAGAAGGGCTCGCGGCGATGGGGCCGGCCGAAGTGGGACCTACCCACTCGAGCCCGTTCCAGTAGTACCAGCCGCCCGTGGCCGAGTCCTGCGCCCACGTGGTCTGAGTGAGGGCCGACGTGCCGCTGCCTCCGGGCACGGCTTGGCCGTTCTTGATGACGTCGCCCGCAGAGTTGAGGCTCCACACGGCCCCGTCAGCGTCGGTGAAGGAACCGCCGCTGGTCGGGGTCAGGACCACGGCGAGAGCCGACGATGCAAGGAGGGCAAACATGGCAGCCACCAGATACCATAGTGTGCGTCTTTGCATGATGGAGGAGGTACTGGCTTGTTGCTATTGGGTTTCCCTGTTGTATGATTTGCCTCCTTTTGTGTGGACATTAATTAGCAACTTTTGAGCTCAAAAGGACCATGGTCTCCGCGTTTTTCTCTGAACCACTGTTCACGCACATGTGTAGAACCTTCTTTTTGTGTCCTTAAATATTATGGTGGACCACCTGCTTGATGATGGAGATGGTGGTGTTGGCCACCTTGCTGGCTGTGTTCTTCCAGCAGCTGAAGAAGAGGTCGGCCGCGCAGTTCTGGTGCGGCAGGGCGTAGCTGTTGACCACGCCGCCCACCTTCATAAACGGCACGCCATAGAACAGGGCCTGCTGGGCCACCGCCGCGCCCTCCTGCTCGACCATATCCACGCCCCAGGCCGTCAGCCGCGCGGCCTCGTCCGGCGGGGCCACAAACGAGTGGTGCGTCGCGATCAACGCGGGCCTGACCCCCGCGGCGGCCAGCACCTCATCGGGCACCACGGCCGTGCAGGGAAAGTGGCCCCAGCCATAGGCCTGGTAGCCTGCATTGGCCGATATGTTGCGGTCGCTGTAGGGGATCGACTGGCCGCCGGCGCACAGGCCGACGTCGCCCACATTGAAGCGGTCGCTCCACCCGCCCACGGTGCCAGCCGAGACCAGGAGATCGGGTTCGAACCCGCCGTCGAGCAGCATGAGCGTGGACACGACGGCGCCGGTCTCGCCCACCATCTCCACCTTGAGTGCCGGGTCCATCCAGGGCGCGAGGTACAGTTGAGTATGCTGCGTGCTCACCATAGCAAGCATCGGAGTTACACCGCCACGACTACACCTGTTCATGTGTGTTGTGTGCCGTGTGCTGTGTGTTGTGTGTTTCGATAGGTCCTGCAACAACAACAACAACAAAAGACCATTTATTTGCGTGAGCTGAAGGTGTTTGCTCACTTTCGGCGGAAGTGGAAGCGAAGTCCCAGCGCGAGCGCACCTCCTGCAAAGGACGCACACGCACACGTCAATCTAGGAATCAACCGAGGCTAGCACAGGAGGGCAGTCCTTACCAATCGGAAGCCAGATGGGAGCTGTCACAATCGTTACGGGCACAGCTGTTCGCCACACAATCATCGCATCAGCACACAGGCCCCAACACGACACGACGAGTGGAAGTGGTGTGTACCGGCAACGAAGGCGGTGGTGAGGGCGACCTTCTTGGCCTTCTTGATGCGTCGCTTGCGCTTATCGCGCCTGTCGCGCTCGCGTCGCTCGTGCTTGGTGAGCGGCATCGGTCCGTTCCAGTAACTGACGTCGGCCAGGATGGCCTCGTCTTCGCTGCCTTCGAAGCGATGCCGCATCCGGGCGAGATCGTCGCTCCTGCTGCTCATGTCGCTGTCGCTGTACCTGCCCCCGCTAAAGCCGCCATAGTAGGCCTCGGCGTCGCTGTCGCTATCACTCTCGCTTTCGCTCTCGTCGCCGTCGTCCGATCGCATGGCTTCCTCGTCGTCCTCGTCATCATCCGACGATGACGTGGAAAACGAGTCCGACGAGCTGCCCCACTCCGACGTATCCAAGTCTATCGAGGGCACGCACACGACACACA